AACAATTTAAAAAGAAACAATTTAAAAAACAACGACCATACACTCAATCTGGGTGGGGCTGGACCTCATTCCTGAAGTCAACAGCCTCAGGCCTGCCGGAATAGCCAGGTTTTGGTGGCTTTTCGGAAGGCCGAGAGAGTGGGGAGGGTCCAGATCTCTAGGGGTAGATCGTTCCACAGGGTTGGAGCAGCTACAGAGAAGGCCCTCCTCCGAGGAGCCGCCAGCCGGCATTGTCCAGTCGACGGCACCCGGAGAAGGCCCTGTCTGTGAGTCCTTATCGGCCGCAGTCAGTGGAGCTGGCAGCAGATTCAGACAGTGAAGAGGTTGGGGAGGAACATGGGGCAGTCTGGGGAAGGCTCTGATGAGGGCTCTGTGTCAGAGGCAAAGATGGGGCCAGAGCTGTATGAAAGTTATCAGCTGCCTTCAGAGTCAGACATCAATGAGGCAGACGAACAGCTGGAGCCTCTTCCCAGTGTGTGCATGCACAGGGTTGCCAGACAAAGGGAACAGTGAAAGGACAAGGGTCGACTTGGGAGTAAGGCATTGAATGGCCCCTCCCACAGTGAATAAAAGAGGAGCGAAAGGGGAGTGGAGTTCGCAGGAGACAATTAGTTCATTCCTGCATTCTTGCCAAGTATTGCGGCATCTGAAAGATATCGGCCTGGCCACTCTCCAAGCCTAATAAGGGTCGGTAATCATGAACTATCTTGAAAGACTGTGGGAGAGGAAAGACTTTGCTGGAGAGGAATTCACTGTAAGTTAAATAAAAGGGGTTTATCGGGATAAGGACTCAGCTTTGTACTGCTGGGGAAGCCGAGGTCAGAACAGGTGCTCTCTGGGTTTGGTTGTTTTCATGGAGATGTTTCATTAACAAGCTAGGTAACATCATCAGTACTAGGACCCAGCTGAGAAATGAAATTTCCACAAAAAAACCCCACCAAGCTCAGAGAGCATCAAGGATCTCACAAATGTTCTTATTAATATGCTGATTCTTATACTATGCAATATCTGAGAGACGAGGGAGGGNAGGTGGGTAAAATGATGACCCAGATTGTTGGGGGCAATATGCTGACTCTGTAAACCGCTTAGAGAGGCCTGAAAGGCCTATGAAGCGGTATATAAGTCTACTGCTATTGCTATATAAGTCTACTGCTATATAAATGTAATAAATCCAAATCGAAATCCAAGATTAGCAACTCTACTTTTGTTAATGTAACGGTGACACATATTCAGATCCTTTTTTTGATCCTTGTGTATCTCTTGCTGCTTATTACTTGCAGTGGATCAAAAACGATCTGTAACCTTCACTGAAGCTCAGTCAGAGGCATCGTCTTCAAAATCTGATCCTACACCGATTACAGCCCAGTGCAGCAAAAAGAACATCCCCGCAGAAGATAGCAAGCACGCAACCAATAAATCTGCTGTGAAGTCATCGCCTACTATTATTGTGGCAGATCTCCATAGTCCAATCTCTTCTCACCAGGTAATTTAATAAAGCAGAAAAACATGCTTGCTATGAGCCAAGATAAAAGAATGGGGGGATACCATTTAAAAAAAAATTCAGAACAGATTGGAATTTTCAGAGTATTAGAACATTATTCATAAAATGATAAAAGAGTTTCTGAATTACATATCTTTAAAATCTGTTTTGTAAAGTGACTATAACTTCTTTTGCTTTTTGCCATAAAATATTTTTGGAAGGCTAAATGACTATTAAGTGATAAGTATATCAAATTAAATCAAAATTGGAGAGGGTACACCTTTATTTCTTTTGCACCTTTTAATTCTGATGTTATTATGTTACTTTTTGTAAGAAAATGTTCCGTAAAATATAACATTCTGCTTTGGAGATAATGACATTTGAAGCAAAAGTTGTTCATACATTGAGAAATATCTGTGACAAATTTGGGGCCGATAAGAGTTGTATGCAAGAGATTGTGGTAACAAGTACTGAAGTGGCGAAAGGCAGGAGAAAGTGTATTTTAAGTCAGTCAGGGAAACAAGAGAAGATAATTTTAATAATGGGAAATGGGAAATAATAATGTGAGCTAATGTTTAAAGAAAGGAGTCCCTTTCTTGTATTCTTTTAAAAAAATAGCTAAATTGTGTTAAGACATGAAGTTAAAAAAGATTATGTTAAGTTGGGAGAAATTGCAACTATCATTGCTGGGGAGAATTTATCTGATTAAAAAATGAATGTCTTGCCTTGAATGATATCAGACAATGCCTTCCAAGTATTCTCCGTCCCATCCCTGAAGATGTTTTAGTAGTCTGATGATGACTCTGAGTTGACGAATAATTATATCCATCCTTCCATTCCTCCTATCCCACCAAAACAGCAAGTGCCTAAAACTAGTATTTTAAATTCCCAATCTTTGTGCCAGAGGGAACTGCCATAAAGGACTTTGAATTGAGGACAGGGCATGTTTAGATATCTCTGGCCGCCTGAGTGAAGTTAAATGGCCTCTGGGGTATTTGTCCTGTGGGTTCAAGACTCATGGCAAGTTGGAGCATAGTTCTCAATATAGGACAAGTATGAGATCATGTAAATGTTTTAAACCCAGAATTCCCCTGTGGTAAGATGAGAGGCCAATACATTTAATCAATCAATCAATCAATCAATACGTCCACTTCTATTCATTGCAGATTGAAACACTTGCTACTGGAAAGGATACAAAAAAGGAAGAGGATTCAGAGCCAAAGCCAGCCCTTGCTCATAGTACTTCTCCAACGACGCAACTTTCTGGCGCTGAGGACTTCACAGGCTTAGAAACAACCAGCTTATTGCAGCATGAAGATACTGTGCTTCATATAAGTGAAGACAATGGGATGGAGAATCCCCTTCTTTCCAGCCAGTTCAACTTCACCCAAGTCGAGATGGGTCAAACTGATGTTGGCCTGGATGAATCACATGTTTGACTTGAAAGAAACATACGTACAGTAGAGGAAGTTTCCTCTAATCTTCTTAGCTCTCTATAAGTAATGTAAGTAAAGAAAGAGCACTTTATAAACAATGGGAGATGTCTCATATCCTGTTGGCGGGTGAATATATTTCATAATTCATAAGTTATGCCTTTGGGAGATCTAGTTAGACTCAGGACCCAATGAATCATTGAGGAATAACTTGGAATGTTCTTAGACACAGAACTGAAACATGACATAGGAATCTTCTGCTTCTTAGACTCTCCAGTAAAATATTACATTAAACATGACAGGCAGAAAACGAGTATAAACTTTTAGAAGGCAGGCCACATTGAGATCTTAAAGGTTTATTTTTGTAATCTCAGATGGGAAACAGATACACAGAGTATATTTATCGCAAACATGAATAGAAATCACGCTACAGGAAAATTTCAGGACTATATATTTCAGTCAACATAGGACACAATTTATTTTCACACTTATATAAGTCTGCAGGTGTTTGTGAATCTGTGAAAAAAAACATAACATATATGCATTATGTCTCTGTTTGAACTACATATCCAACGGATGATTTGCAATCTAAATGAATATGAATGTAATCATTAATGTTCAAGTAAATAATCACCCTTATATTCTGATGTCATGTTGCTATAAATTAATTTTAAGTTAATATTTAAAGGGTTCTAAATTGGATATAGTATTAGCCATACATATAGCCTATCATAAGGAGAATATATATATATATATATATATATATATATGTGTGGTCTTTTGAAGCTATGCAGCAAAAGGATTTGGCAAAATTAAAGTTTTTACTGTTCTCATTAACTCCCCTTGCTTTAAACCAATCTAACCTCAACATGCTGGGACATAATGCTTTCACTGTTGTTATTGTTAAAGTTAATATAACTGTATACCCCTTTTTAAATGTTGCTAAATCTATGATTTGATTTACTTCTATGTTGAGGNTTCTGCAGTTCGGCTGTTCAAATCTCACCGGCTCAAAGGTTGACTCAGCCTTCCATCCTTCCGAGGTGGGTAAAATGAGGACCCGGATTGTTGGGGCGATATGCTGACTCTGTAAACCGCTTAGAGAGGGCTGAAAATCCTATGAAGCGGTATATAAGTCTAACTGCTATTGCTATTGCTATTGCTAAAACTGCTCTCTTATAAATAACTTGTCTTCCTTAGAAACTTAAGCCTGGGAAAATACCAAGGGACAGTCATTTGCACTGTCATAAGGAGGAGTTGTTAGCCCGGTTAAGGTGTTAATAGAGTGGAAAGGAGCAGTTTTCTGCTATTCAGAGCTGGTTTTCAGGTTCAGCTCTGGTGTAGAAAAAGGATTGTACCACTTAGCCAGTTTATGTATTAAATTCTTTGCATTTCAAGTGCATTCAAATTCACATCGTGTTGTCTTTGCATGTGCTGGAGCACTGAAAACTGGAAGTGCAGCTCCCTGGTATGCGTACGTTTGCCGGGAAGCTGAGCTACCTGTTTCTGGTACATGCATGCATGCCGACCAGCTAGTCTTTGTGCACGCGTGCGTGCCAGAAACTGGAAAACCATGTGACCGGTGTGCATGCGCACACTGGAAACTGGAAGCTCAACTTCCCGTTGTGCACATGGGTTCACCGACAAAAGGGCGAGCGACAAAAGCGCGCCCGACGAAACCGCGGTGACAAAACCGCGAGTTCTAAACCGCGCTGACGAATGAGCTCTGAAGCGCGCCGACAACAGTGCACCGACAGAAGTGCGCTCTAAACCTAACCCTAACCCTAACCCTAACTCTAAACCTAAACCTAACCCTGACCCTAGCGCTTGCCTTAACTTAAATCGCGCTTCTGTCGGCGTGCTGTTGTCGGCGCGCTGTTGTCCCCGTGTTGATGACGATGCGGTTTTAGCGCCGCGGTTTTGTCGGCGCGCTTTTGTCGTGCACGCATTTGTTGGGTCACGGCGCACATATGTTCTAGGGAACTCCTCTTCTGGTTTCTGCTGCTCCCACATGTGCGTGCTGGGAAGCTGCTCTTCCAATTTCTGGTGCTCCCCCGCACACGCGCGCACTCCTGTATTGGAAGTTTGGTGCAGAAAAGGTTTGCCAACCCTAGTATAGGGTATTTTTAGCTGATGACTACTACCAGTATACAATTTTAAAATCTTGGAAAAACTTGTATCAGTTTGTATGTTCTGATACACATTTGACTTTCATGATAGTCTGTTTTCAGGTTTTCATATTGCTATTTTGTAAACTGAAGAAATATGGCTTAGCTGACTAATTTTCTTCTAAGGGTATTTGTCACATTCAGCCCAGATTTCTCTTAGGCTTGATAAAAACTAATCAATTAGTGTTCACCTGTAGAGGAGACCAACCTTAAAGCAAGGAGACATAGATTTAGAATTCCTCGTGTGCCTCATTGACTAACCACATCATGTTTATGGAACAGATACTGCCAAAATATTGCAAAATGTCGGCATTTTAAATTTTTCTCATTTTCTTAAAAGCAATAAATAATAAGCCAGATTGTTCAAAATATTGAGCCATCAGGCTAGAAACCAGGAAACTGAATGCTAATCCTGCCTTAGACATGAAAGAACTGGGTGATGTTTCTGTCAATCATTCTCTCTGTCCAGCTCACATGACTTTGGCTGAGACATAAGGTACCATTCTCTGCATTCATACTTTTTTGCTTATTAAATTTCTACATTACAATTAGGGATAGTTTATGACAGTGGTTCCCAAACTTGGCAACTTTAAGACTTGTGGACTTCAACTCCCAGAATTCTCCAGCTCAGCTCTGCTCTGCTGGCTGGAGAATTCTGGGAGTTGAAGTCCACAAGTCTTAAAGTTGCCAAGTTTGGGAACCACTGGTTTATGACTAACTAAAGAGGCCCAAAGCATGCCGTCATATGAATTTGTCGTGAAGAATGTTAAACTGTATATAGGCTTACTAATGGCATATGTAAAGGTTGAGTGATATGCATTACTAAAAAGCAATTTTATATGCCACTAAAAAGCAATTTTCTGGTTGACTATGAGGTTAGGAATTGGTTGTCTTCCTTAATATCAGTGTCTTCCACTAGAAAGCAAATAGATTAAGGGATCTAGTTTTTAATATACACGTAGAATAAAAATAATTGCTGTAGTAGTAAGATGTTCCTGCCTATTTCATTATGAAAGTATACAGATTCCTTTTATAATTTAGTACATCCATTTTTTTTTAAAGAATCCAAAAAATGCCAATTGCTTCTTGTCCCTAATTTGTATTGGATATTGATCATGAAAGCTCTATATCAATGTTTCTCAACCTTGGCAACTTGAAGATGTCCAGACTTCAACTCCTAGAATTCCCCAGCCAGCGAATGCTGGCTGGGGAATTCTGGGAGTTGAAATCCGGACATCTTCAAGTTGCCAAGGTTGAGAAACACTGCTCTATATAGTTTAGGACCTCACTATTTAAGGGAAGTTTTTGGAAATCCTTTTTAATTCCTTCACAAAGTTTAAAAGTGCAATATAAATAAGATGATAAATAAATAAATTCCAGTTACTCGTTCTGAAGCGTGCCTATTTAATGGGAGTTGAAATTGCAACTATATGTTCAGTGTGGTAACTTTTTCCCCAAAGTCCTGTGCCAATGCTGTAAGTTAAACCTTTGTCAACCTGTGCTCATCATTCATTTTGTTGTCTATTGAAATCCAGTTATTAAAAACTATGGCATACCTATCAAATCTGATTGCAAAGAAAACATGTTTCAATGTAATATTTAACATTTGCAATATAGTGTTTAAAGCTAAGGCTTTCAAACGGCATCCTCATTATTGATCTGTTATGTCAAAGAAGGGGGGGGGGAATTGTAAAATGAAAGGCATCATTC